TAATAAATTCAGACTTGTTGAGCGTTCATTAAAGAAAGTCATTAATGCAAAATGGGCATATATCTTCAACGATGTTTGTATTAAAGAAAACCTCGTTCCGAAATAGATTAAGTATATATATATTTGTTGGAATATATTTGGTTCGTTTGGCAATAACAATTTTGAGTAATTAACATTCTGAACATTCAATCATCAACGCATTTAATAGTTTCATTCATTTTTATCAGCTTTTTTCTTGTCTTTCTTTCTTTCATAGTTTTTTCTCTCTATCCTCTCTCTACTGCTTCTCTTTTTCTTTCTTTCTCTCTCTCTTTCTCTTTTTCTTCTCGTACTAGAATAAAATCTTTATAAGAAAAATAATTATCCGATATACATTAGATTATTACGTATTGATGACAACCTTTAGTAATATAAAAAGCATATACAGACACATACACACACGTACAAGCACACACACACACATACAAGCACATACACACACATACATACAGACACGTACACACACGTACAAGCACACACACACGCACAAACACTGCATATTGTATTTTCAAGCTTGTTATATTTTTCCAAGTCTTAAGTTACACCATAATATTTGGGGTATGCCAAAAAATTTGGGGAAAAATAATAACAATAATAATAATAATAACAATAACAACAACAACAATAATAATAATGATGAAACAATTATAACAATAAAACAGTAATAAAAATTGATGAAACATCAACACACTCAAAATTATTTACAGCTATAATTAATAGTAATAATAATCATAATAATAATAAAAATAATAATCCTAATAATATTGAAAGCAATGATAGTAGTTCTTTTTTTTAAAGTTTCCGTGAAAGTTGAAAAAATAAATCTTAGTACATCCGGAGAGATTGGCATTTGTAGGAAGTTGTTGGATTAATGCCCTCCTAACAAATTTGAAATAAATTCTCCGGCAAATTGGCCGTGAACTTTGACCATCGGGAGAGACCCGCTGCTAGGACGTGATCTATGATCGATTTAACAATTGTTCCCTGGCATTTCAGCGAAATTAGGTTC